GATGAAGATGAAGATAGACATGCAATCGTTCGTGAGGGTGGTGGTATTCGTGTTTGGTATGACGATTATACAACAATTGGTCTGTAAAAAAATTTCTTATGCTATATATGTCTGATCCATCAATTTTATAAATACTTATTCGGTTTTGATACTTAATCTGGTTTGATAGATTGGATTCATGATTATGTCAAAGAACGCGTTCGTGTTCGTAAAATTCACTCGGTTAAAGGTGTTCGTGGTTATTTTATGAAAGCATTTGATAGTTTTCAGGGCTGGTTTCTGGTATTTCTTATCGGTAAGCTTCTGTTTTATGTCTCTAATTTCTAATTTAAATGCTCTTTTTTTTAACTAAAATTTTTATCTAAATGTTATTATTTCTTTCAGGAGTCATTACTGCCTATGTTGCTGGTGCTGTAGATCTTGCTGTGGAATGGGGTTCCGGTCTTAAGGAAGGATATTGTTCCACTGATGTTTTTAAAAACAAAAGCTTTTGCTGTTATAATAGTAGTAATACCGAAGGTAAAAATCTTTATGTTTACTTTGGTATACCTATTTATATACGATATTTATTATATTTTAATTATCTGCGTACAGCCGACCAATCCTGTAATGAATGGGTTACGTGGTCTCAAGTCTTTTATAAAGATTCTTGGTGGTTCAATTATTTCACTTATGTTTTTGTTGCTGTAGGTCCTTTGTACTTTATATTCTCTTCGTTATCTAGTAAAGTTATCTTAAATTAAAGATTTATTGTTCAAACTTTAGTTCTGCTTCGCTGTCTGTGCTGCAATACTTGTAAAATACAATTCTTTATATGCTACCCCCTCGTTAAAGAGTTCTTCAAGGAGTAGGTCAGGTAATTTTAACGGCAAAAAAGAGCGAAAATCGTATGCAGCTGGGAGTGGGATTCCTGAGGTTAAAACTATATTGAGCGGTTTCGTAATTCGCGGTTTTCTTGGTGTTAGAACTCTTTGGGTCAAATCCTTGACACTGGTATGTCTTCTTACCTATTTTCATATATGTTTTTAATAATATTTTTTTCTTCAATTACTGGACCAACAAACAATCAAAAAAATCATTAAATCATCAAATCATTAAATCAATTTAAGGCAATGGTTGTTACTGCAGGAATGACGCTTGGCAAAGAGGGTCCTTTTGTGCATATTGCATGTTGCATTGGTAACATCCTTAGCCGCATGTTTAACAAATATAACAAAAATGAGGGTAAAAGGAGAGAAATATTGTCTGCTTCAGCAGCTGCAGGTGTGAGTGTGGCTTTTGCTGCACCAATAGGTGGTGTATTATTTTCATTGGAAGAAGTAAGCTATTATTTCCCAAGCAAAACTTTAGTCAGGAGCTTCTTTTGCGCTATTGTGGCTGCGGTTACCTTGAAGGTATTTATTTTAGAATCTTTATGTATACATATATATATTTATATAAATGAAAGTTTTTTTTTTTATTGATTTTTTTCTAACAATTTTAGATAATCGATCCATTTGGTACTGGTAAAATCGTCATGTTCCAAGTTTCATATGACAACGATTGGCATGTCTTTGAATCCGTGTCATTTATAATTCTTGGCGTCTTAGGGGTATGTTTAAAATGTTTGCGAATTATGAATATTTCAGGTTTTATAATAAAATGCTGATGTCGATCCATATATACATCTTTATACATTCTAGGGAGTGTTTGGTGCTATTCTTAGTAAACTTATTGCTCTGTACACTAAATATGTTCGTAACGGGACGTGGCTCAAAGATCACCCGATTACTGAAGTTGGAATAGTGGTTATTATTACTGCTACAGTCAACTTTTTAACTAAGCACACAAGGTTTGTTCATTGAAGTTAGTATGAAAGTTACTTTATTTACCTCAGAAAATTCATTAATAATTTGAAAATTATTAGAGTATCCAATACCGACCTAGTTCATGATCTATTCAGTGAATGTGATACTGATTCAGATTCTGAACGTGCTGGGCTTTGCGCGTATGTTAAACATATATTAAAATTAATGTTAATTTTTAATATATTCATTTACTTATTTATTTGTTTGTTTAGAACCGAAGCAGACAAAATATTTGAAATTATTTACTTACTAGGCATTGCCCTGATTTCTAAATTTTTAACTTGTGTTATTACATTTGGACTAAGGGTTCCGGCTGGTATTTTTATTCCTTCTTTACTTATTGGCGCATGCACAGGAAGAATGCTTGGACTTGCCGTTCAATGGTTAACTTTGTATGTTACATTATATTATATTATATTAGATTATATTAGATTATATTATATTATGTTTCATTTAACATTATTATTAAATATTTCTATTTGTTAGAACATACCCCGATTTTCCAATATTTACATCAGTATGTGACCCTTATAAGGTAAATGATTGTGTTAACCCAGGAGTGTATGCTATGGTAGGAGCTGCTGCATGTTTGGCAGGTGTAACAAGAATGACAGTATCCTTGACCGTCATCATGTTTGAACTTACTGGCGCATTGACTTATATTCTGGTAAATATAATTCACACTTATAAATTATGATTTCCATACTTAAAAATTATGATTTACAAAGATCAAAATCTAATCTAATAATAATTATATAATTAGCCAATAATGACTGCTATTATGATTGCAAAATGGGTTGCTGATGGAATTGTCAAACATGGACTTTATGATCTTTTGATTTCTCTCAATGATCATCCATTCTTGGATTCCAAAGCAGAATATATTACGACCGCAGCTACTGTGGATCTTATTCAAAGAGATACCGAAGTTATTGATATTAATCAACGAAATACTATTTTTGATCTGAAGACTAAATTAAACAAAATAGGTAAATAAATTAATCTTTACATCTTTTCATCAAGTCATTTATTTCATTACTAATCTCGTGTTTTATTTAAAGTCAACAGAGGGCATTCAGATGACGGTTTTCCAGTAGTTGATGGTACACTGTTGGTTGGTTACATTGCGGCAAATGAACTTGAACATGCATTAAAACATGTAGATGAATTACCTGAGTCAACAGAGTGTCAGTTCGGAAAAACTGAGTTTGAAATATCGATACCAAATGGTCATGACCATGAACATAAAATTACAAATTTTACAGCTTATACAGATCTGGTATATATATGTGTTCTTTATTACAATTCTAATTTGATTTTTTTTCATTCTTATAGTTTTATTGATTTTATTTGCATTTTTTGTTTGTTAGGCGCCATTGACTGTATCAAAAAATGCTTCATTAGAAGTTGTACTTGAATTATTTAAAAAATTAGGGTTAAGATATGTTTGTGTTGTAAACTGTGGACATTATGTTGGTGTCATACATAAGAAACAATTATTAGTTTATTTGAGAAATCTTGAAAAAAGGTCTCATAATCAATAATGTTGTTATTCTCTGGAAGAATACACATTATTATACCGGTGTAGGAATTGAATATTGTAGTTGGAGAAACTTGGTGAACTTGAAGGTGTAAAAAAAACTAATGATGCCCTGTAAATGCATTGTCTTCGGTTCATCAATTGAAAGACATATTGAATATCTTGATTGATGGTACATTGATGAAACAATATCGGTTTCAAACTTTTTTTTTCCTGTTGAACATTTGATTTGATTTGGTAATTTGCATGAGTATGGTACTATTTGTATGTTGAAAACTTGTTTACATAGATTTATGTAGCTTGTTTTAATATTTTACTTTCATTTATGAACCTTTTCCTTTTTGGAGGATTGAAAGAAATTTTTATCATAAACATGTAATAATATTTTTAATTAATTAAAATTGTAATCTATTTATATAAACTAACTATTATAACTGTCGTTAAACGATAGGTTATAGTAGGTTATACACGTAATCCACAACGTTATAACAGTATAATTTCATGGCTTTTTAAAACCAATCTGATAATCTAAATAATCCACGCAGTAAAGTCTCCGGCGCCAATTTGCGACAGCACAATATGCGCATAAGTATATGTTATTGTCCACGAAGTGGGCAATAACTAAAAATCATACCCGGATCTGTAATAACGGAATGGATCCGGGTATGTGTCTACTTCGTGGATAATAACTGATTTATTCCCAGGTTCTTTTTTATACTTCCATACGATCTTTTCAAATTAAAATTCGAATTTCATAAAGTTTAGCTTTCTACAATCATAAGACTTCTTTGTTTCCTTCCACTTTTTTTTTTAACCAACAATTTTTACTTTTCGTTATTATGTTAATAGTTTAAAATTTCGTATATCATTAAAAAAAAGTAAAAAAAGATATAAACGTGAAAAGATAGTATGGAAGTATAAATAAGAATCGGGGAATAAATTTAATTTTACCGCAATAGCATATGCGATAGGTAGTTAACATGGTTTAGAATCACTAACAAAAATAGATTAGTTAAATTTATTAAAACCCGCTATATACATAAACCGTTAATTATTTTTTATTGCTGTTACATAAAAATACTAACTCGCAAGTTAGATTTCATCTTATTATATGGAAATAATAAATTTAAAAAAAGGAATATATGCGTGAAAATTTGAAATTAGGCGCGTTAAATTCACGAGAAAAAAAAATAAAACAAAAAGTTAGTAATCAAATGGAATAAAGAAAAAAATTATATGAATATATTCATTGTCAAGTAAAAACCTCATGAATTTTTTTATTATTCATGTTACAAAATAAATAAAATAAAAAGCAAATTATATATTTCTTATTTATTATCTTTTAAACTGTATTCCAGACAAATTTGTCTGGAAAATTAAATTACATACCGTATATTCCTACGAAAATATTGTGGATAGCTTATTTTAGAGTAAAAGTGGATTTTTCTCAATTGTAAGAAATTTTATTAAGTAAATTGACTATCTGTATTAAGTAAAGTTTGTTTAGGAGATCAAAATACATATATTCTAAAACTTTCATGTAAATCAGATAATTTTTATTAATTGATTGTTGTATAATCGTCATACCAAACACGAATACCACCACCCTCACGAACGATTGCATGTCTATCTTCATCTTCATC